AAGCAAGCGAATCTGGGGCAGAGCAATCGCCCAGCAGAGCTGCCGGAGGTGGGAGAGCTGAGCTGAGCGATCGGGGGCGGAGGGGGCAGCGAGCACCGAGCGCTGCTGAGGGCTGGGTGAAGGGCAACTCCATCCTCAGCTTCCTCCAAAAAGGGCACAGACCAACACGCAGCCCGCGCATTCAGACTTCAGTCTGCTTCAGAGACATCTCTTGACTCACGTCCCCCTCAGCCTCTTCCATAGGTTATTCTTTTTTCTGCTTCCTGAGCTCTCCATGAAGCATTCAATAGGGCAGAGCAGACAGACTTGCCCGAGTCACAGTGCTGTGCTGCCTTCACGGAACATTGAGTCCCACGCTGCAGAAGGCAGCAGCACCCCACTGACAAGGAGGAACCCAACAAAGCCTCAGGCCTCTTTCCAGCCTCAGGCTGGTTCGAAAACACAAAGTAGGCTTGCTTAAAGCCAAACCGGGTCCGATCTCTTGCTAAACAGAGTTACAGCGCTTGGAAGACTCAGAAATAAACATCCCAAGGCGGTGAGTCACTCGTGGGCAGGACAGTCCCACCACACCACGTCGGTGACGGGCAGCCAGAGCCGACTGCCAGCACTGGGAGCTGGGCAAGGAAAGCCGGCGGGCCCGAGGGAGGACGGGAGCCAACAACCCAGCCTGGGAGAGGGAAGCGGGAAAACCGCGGCCCCCTTCTGGAGCGCAACGATTTCGCCTCGCCCCCCGTGCGCGGCCCTGCGGTCGGCAGCAGCGAGCAGGAACCTCCCGCACGAGGAGCGATGCTCTCCCAGCTGCGCGCTGATTGGCTCGCGGCTCAGCCAATCGGAGCCAGAGCTCCATGGCAACCGGCTCTGTCGCCAGGAGCAACAGGGAGAGCCGGGTACCGGCGGCGCCGCGGAGGGATGGGGAGGTGAGAAGCGGCGGGTGCCCAAGGTCCCGGCCTCAGAGCTCCTGTCATCCCGAGGGGCTGCAGGGAGCCCTCTGCCCTCTGCTTTCCCCCGGGCACGGCCGCCGGTGCAGTTTCGAGGTGCTGCAGTACGTCTCCCAGGTACACAAGGGGCTGCAAAAAGGAGGTTTGGTTGTAGGACCAACAGCAGCCGTGCAGCTCCTGAGGTAAATCCTGAGAGATCTTCGGAGGGAACTCCTGAGAGAGGCCCCACACAGGCTCCACAAGCCCCTCCCCATCTGTTCTGGGCAGCACAAGGCTCAATTAAGGGTCCCCAGCACCAATGCTGCCCCTGAGGCCTCAGCCTGAAGGCGAGCACAGAGCCCTGCACACACAGAGCCCCGCACACACAGAGCCCCGCACACACAGAGCCCCGCACACACACACAGCCCTGCACTCACACACAGAGCCCTGCACTCACACACACACACACACACACACACACAGCCCTGCACACACACACACAGCCCTGCACTCACACACACAGCCCTGCACTCACACACAGCCCTGCACTCACACACACAGCCCTGCACTCACACACACAGCCCTGCACACACACACACTCACACACACACACACACACACACACAGCCCTGCACACACACACACTCACACTCACACACAGCCCTGCACACACACACAGCCCTGCACTCACACACTCACACACACAGCCCCGCACAAACACGCACAGCCCAAACACCTCCCCTGGTCTCCAGCTGGAGGAATCCACTCCCTGCCTGGAGCTGGCAGAGCACACGCGCTGTGCAAAGCCCCGCAGCTCCATGAGGGATGCTCGCACTCCGCAGTGGCCTCAGCCCATGCAGGAGCTGCTCCACAACGTTCCGCTCCCCTCTGCTTTTTCCCATCGGCTGCAGGGAAGGATTCGCTCCTCGCTCCCTGCCAGTTCCTATAAAGCAAACGAAGCCCAAAGCACGGAGGCTATGGGTGCGCAAACCCAGCACTGAGTCACTGCTTCCAACCTTAATCCCCACCCCCACGTTACACTGAAGAGGTGAAGGTATGATGCAAAGTTTTGACTTTAGGTGGAAAGAGGGCATAAAACACCTGACACGAACTGGGATGCAGGGCGTGCAGCAACGGCAGCCACCGGTGTGAGAAAGGAGAGCCGGGGCCTCCTGTGCTGCGAGGCGCCCTGCAGACCTCCCAAAATTCGGATGGAAGAAAGGAACCGGCTGCACCAACACCTCGACGGGGGGCGGGGGCTGCAAAGAGGGAATTTTGGATCTCGCTGCAGGAAGTGGCTTTAGGCGCTGCGAAGCGCACAGCAGCTGCCACCTGCAGCCCTGCTGCTCTCACTTTATTTCGGGAGCTGCAGCGAAGCCACACAAGAACCTCTCAGCCCTCAGCGATAAAATCAGGGGAGACAAAACCAGGCGGCAGTTCAAGTGAGAGGAGCACAGGAGGCAGCGCTGTGAATTTTTACAGTGCAAACCCTCTGAGGTGAGAAAGAGAAATGTGGGACAGCCGGAGCTCCCCTCTCCTGTCAGAGCTTCCTGCACTCGCCCAGGAGCAGGGCAGCGCTCCGTGACGTCAGAGCAGTTTCCCAGCAACAGGGAAGGAGGGCTGTCAACCACGGGGGTTTCCTGAAAAGCCAGCACGGAATCCTCCACCTCCTTCCTGCAGTGTCAGATGCGACAGGACAGCACGGAATGGGACTCGTGTCAACTTCCCTCGTTCTGCACGCTCCTCCAGCGCCGTGCCAAGAAGCAGCAGCACTGAAAGTTGGCTGGGAGCATGGATTCCCCGGCCCAGCTCACCACCAAGCCAGCTGCAAACACGGGGTGGCACTGCATGGTGGCACAGCACGGTGGCACAGCACGGTGGCACAGCACGGTGGCACTGCACGGTGGCACAGCACGGTGGCACAGCACGGTGGCACTGCATGGTGGCACTGCATGGTGGCACAGCACGGTGGCACTGCATGGTGGCACTGCACGGTGGCACTGCATGGTGGCACTGCACGGTGAGAGTATGATGGGCAGTGAGCCGTTCCTGCTTACCTGCAGCAGGAGGACCTCGAGGGCTGCTGCCCACACGGGTGCTGGTTTCTGTTCTAAGAGAGCACTGTGAGGAGGTGAGGGGAAGGGCAGCAGGTCTGATGCTCCCACATAAACACCCTGCAGTGCTGCAGGTGGCTGAGACACCGGCCCTAGGAGCAGCTCCTGGCACTGACAGTCAGATGGAGAAATGCTCCTTCAGCACCAGTGTGAGGAGGAGGCAGAGGGAATCCAAACTCCCCGTTCTGCTGAAAGCAAACCCAGTTTGCAGCGAGCTTTTAAACACAGGACGGGGGTATTATGAACACAGGGGGACGAATACAGCACAAGCAGCCCTGCAGAACATCAAACCGAGTAAAGCAAACTCGCTATTTCCTACGGCCAGCCAACAAGCAGCCGCGTTCTTTGACCAACTACCCGGCTTCCAAGCAGCACAGCGCTGAAAGCGCAGCAGCACGGAGCGCTTTGCCTCTGCCAAAGGAAAAGGAGGAGCCCAGAACGAGCCGCACGAAGCCCAGCTCAGGCTGGGAGAGCCGCGAGGGGAACTCCTCGCTACACAGCACAGCGGCACTCAGGGATTCCCCCGCTCCTGCCGGCGCATCTCAGCTCCGCCAAAAGAAAGCTGAGTTCCGGCACCGCGTCCCGAACGGCATCAGAGCTGCGGAGCATCGCGGCGCCGCGCGACGAGGCGGCAGGGCAGCACTTACCGACGTGAGCGACGTCAGCTCCCCATCCCTGCGCCGCCCGCCCGCCGTGCCGCGCTGGGTTTTGCACGGCGGCGGTGAGAAGAGATGCAAAGAGAAGCCTCGGGTCACCGCTGCTCGAGCCCCAGGCATCAGCCGGCTCAGCTCTATCACGGAGCTCACCCTGCGGCGCCGCGCTCCCCGCAGTCACCTGTCCTCTAATCCCCACACAGCCTCCATTGCCTCAGCTGGCTCGGTAGGAACCCGCCAGGATCGCTCTGCTCCCCGCAAGCCCCCAGCCTGCTTCCCCCCCAACGATCGCAGCGCTGTGCCCTGCGGCTCCGAGGCAGAGCGGAGCCCAACTGTGGGGAGGGATGCACAGAGCTCTGCCAATGGCCACATGCACACCCCCTCCTGCTCTCATTCAAACACTTCGGAGGAACCGCCTCCGCAGAGCCCCGAGAAGGCTTAAAGACACAGCATCTTCCTGAGCACTGGGAAGGCTCAAAGACACAGCATCTTCCTGAGCAGCACCAGGCAGGCAGGACGCAATGGCAGGCAGCAGGCTTTGGAGGTGGGTTACGGGCTGCCTTCCTCACTGCTCATGCGGAGCCATCGATGCTCCCAAGGGCTCACGTTCTTTAATGGTTTCTTTGCCAGGCAATGCGGACAGGAAGCAAGAAATGCAGATGAGCCTGGAGAAGTTCTGAACCGCGTTGCAGCTTCGCCCTGCTGAGCCGACCTCCGGCAGGAGGACTCCAGGCTGAGGGCTGAGCAGGATGGAGCTCAGAGCACGGAGCCCCGCGAGCCCATGCAGCACAGCTGCTCCTCGTGGGCTTCCTGCAGCAGCCACAGAGCCGCTCACCGCCAGGCAGCAGCGCTCTGCCCCCGGGAAACAGAGCGGGAGAAGATTTCCTAAGCTGCACCTTTGTCCTCGGATGCATCTTTCTCTTCAGGCAGGGAGGCAGCAGACCCGGCTGGGAGGAGCAGGGCGTCAGCCCCACCAAAGCCCAAACGGCCGCAGCTGGGTGAGAGCCGCAGCTCACTGCCTCGCACACCTGGGCCTCCCCTGCCCAGGGAATGCGTGTGGTTACGCATCCACGCGTTCAGACCGCGCTGCGCTTCACCCTGACGGGTTTCTGTGGCAAGAAATCTGTGGGCACGTTCCAGCAGAAGGGAAAAGCCTCAGCCGGGTGGCGCTGACCCACAGCACCGACGTCTGCGTCAGCCCAGCACAGGGATTCCCCGTGCGCCAGATGCCCAGCAGGAGCAGCACTGCGCCCTGTGCTGAGAGCATTGTGAACAGAGCAGGAAGGCGCCCCTGCCCTTAAAAAAGGGAAGAGAAAAGTCACGCAGGCGAGCCTGGACCAGAGTCCTCATTGCACATCAGCTCACGGCGCTCTTCTGCCCCTGTGCAGGGGTGAAGGAAAGCTGTGCGCACGGCAGGACAACAGCTCTGAGGACAGCAGCAGAGCAGCTCCTGGGGAGGCAGCAGGATGGACCCACGCTCCGGTCCTTCCAACAGCTCACAGGAAAAGGAGATTCCTCCGCAGGGCTGGGAAAGACACGGGAGTCCTGCAGCCAGCACAGCTCTGTTAGCAGGTCTGAGGAGGCCACGATAAGGGAGCAAGAGGCAGAGGAGAGGAGAAGTGACTGCGGAGCAGCCCAGCATCAGGAGTCACCTCAGCCCCGCGCTGATGGGGACAGCAGCCAAGAGCAGGGATTCTGAGCGGGCTCTGCTACCAGACAGGAATGATGAGCCCCCAAGAAACGGGATCTGAGATCCAGGAGCCGCTGCCCACAGGAAAAATACAAGAGAGCACCATCAGATTTAATTGCCAGGGATTTTCCGTTCAGATCTGGCTCGGCTGAGGACGCACAGCCCTGGTAACCGGCCCTGCCCTGTCCCCCAGCTCCCAACTCACTGATGTGCGCTGCCTGCAGCCGTGCCCCCGTGGCCCCTCCACGTCTGACGTGCAGCAGATCTGCCAGCGGCTCAGGACAGACACGTGGGCAGCGATGAGGAACGGAACGAGCTCCCATTCAGCTCCAAACACTGATAAATAATTCAGGAAGAGAAAAATGCCGCAATACAGAGCGCAGCACTGCTTAAAAATAGAATACGTGCCGCTGCTGCCAGAGGAGCAGAGGGAGGGAAGCAGAGAGGTGGCACCAAGGCGTCGGGTCGCCGGCCTTTCCAATTAGGGATCCCCCACGCCGGGCGTTACAGCGGCAGCCAGGGCTGCCCCTGCTGGAGGAGAGCCCTGCAAGAAAGGGAAAATCCTCCCGGCTGCACAGCCTGCAGCAGGGCAGGGTGGGAGCGCGGCCAGGGCGCTGGGTGGCATCCAGCTCCGCTCGGCTTCACTGCTGGGCAGGGCAGGGCTGCACGGCGCTGCTCTCGCCCGAGTTGTGCTGCCTCGTGTGCAGAAACTTCTGCTCTGCCATCAGTGCCACCTCCAGCCGTGCCGTGCGCTGCAAACAGCGACCTGCCACCTGCAGGCCGACAGCGCAAAGCCCAAAGTGCCCCTCGTCTCCAGACCCCGCTGCTCCGCGTCGATAAACGCGCACTGCAAACCTGTGTGCCGACACGAAACCTCCCCCAGCCCCAGCGCGATGCTCGGCTCTGCGCGGTGACGACGAAGAGACTGAGAGCGACTGAGAAGCGTCGCCGAGGCCTCGATGGCGGTCAGGTTTTCCCCCTGCGGACCCCGCCGCCATTTCCCACCAGGAGCAAAGCGGCCCCGCATCGCTTGGTGCAGCAGAACCCACTTGGACAGATGGCTGCTCTCTCCTCGCTTCAAAAATAACACCCAAACGACACCCATCTCTCCCTGCCTCCCCGTGACATCGGCTTCCCAAGCGTTTCTGAAGCAGGAAGCTGCCGGGCAGAGAGCAGCAGGCTTCCATAAGGAAAGGCAGCACACACACACAGCTCGCTCGGAACCCATTGAACCCACAGGCAGAGCAGCTTTCTGAGAGCGCTTTGGTTTCGCCCTCAAAATACCCCAAAATAAATTGAAAGCAAAGGGGAAAGAAAGGTGCAAAGGAAGAAAATTGAAAGGCGCTGAGGTCCCTGCGTGAGCAAGGCCAAAATCCCACCAAAATCCCAGCGCTGGGTTGAACCTGATGGGGGAGGAGGAGGAGAGCAGAGCCTCAGCTTTGGGGCAGGTGGAAGTTCAGCAGCTCTGAGGGCTGAGCAAACGCAGCCCCTGCACCCTTCCCACCCTCACCCCTCTCCCCTTCCTCTCCTGATGAGAAACCACGACAGCAGGAGCAGCTCTGAAGCAGCCCCTCGTTTCGGTTTGGCCACGGGGGAGCAGACAGGGCAGGAGCCCAGAGCTCCACAGAGGGGTCACCCAGATGCACCAACGTCTCCCAGTGGCTCTGTGTCTCAACTCGGCTGCCAAGCCATTTCTTTCTTAAAGAACAGGATGTCAAAGCAGTGCGAGGATTTTGTAACTTCATTAAAAAATACGCATACATATATATATATATATATATGAGAGCTGGCAGAGGAGTAGGCTGCATCTGCCCACACTCAATGATCATCACCGAAATTTACTGGGAGGCAGCCGTGACTCAGTCTGCAGTACACAAAGACAGCTTGTGCTCCCAATGCATAATGAGAGCGGGCTCTATAGAAAGCCATAAATCCGTTTGAGCCCCATTGACAGCAGCGTGCGAGGGAATCCCAGCGCTGACATCAGCGCAGCCCTTCCTCCTCCTGCTGCTGGCAGCCAGGCTGGGCTCCCACCGCTGAACCCCACCAAGGGGCCGCGCCGCCCTCCAGGGCTCAGCAGGGCACCGGGATCAGAGGCAGCACGAGAAAAGATGGAGGATGGAGAGCGATGCATTCGCATCCCATCGCCAGGAGGAAGAAGCCCCACAAACCCTGAGCTCTCAAGCTGCCACAACAGCTGGGCTACGAGCAACCGCTCCTCCCAGCCCGGAACGGCGGCGAACAGCGAGGTGCCACGAGGAACCCGAGGGAAACGGTTTCTCTGGTCCCCCTCTGCTGAGTGCCGGCGCTCAGAGCTCCGCCGCCCGCAGCTCAGCACTGCAGGGTGGGAGCAGATCCTGGTGCAGCCACAGCACACAGCTGCCCAGCCTTGGCCTGAGCAAACGAGGCCACGAAGGCTCGCCAAAGAGGACGATGGTGCTGCAAACCACGGCGTGATGTTTAAACCACCCCGGATTTTGGCCTGTGCTGCGCAGGCAGCTCCAGCTGAGCCTCAGGAACCACCGAGCAGCGCCTGGTCACTGAGGGCCAACAGCTTCCACGTCCCATTCCTGTGGAAGGGAGAGGGGCAGTGTGAAGAAAAAACAACTCAGCAAGCCACCTGCGAGCTACGGGATCCCGTCAGGAAAAAGTATGAACTGCAGGCGACCTTGGGATGATCTGATGGGGAATTTCCAGCACAAACCCAAGGAGGACGCAGAACTGATGCCTGTCAGCCTCAGGGAGCCACAACAGTTAACAGCATGGAAATAAAGAAGGGAGAGTAAGGAATCAGAACTGCACGAAGCAGCCGTGGGGAAGCCGGCCTGGATCTGGGAGAGATGGAGAGCAGGGTGAGGCAGGAGGCAGGTGAGACCCCCAGCAACACCTGGGATGGAAACCAAACGGAGCAGCCGTGCTCTGAGAAGGGGGGCATTGTTGGGCTGCCTGCTGACAGGCAGCTGAGACCCTGTGAGCTCCCTGCTCTCCTCTACAGCGCGTCCTTGGGAAGAGCAGCCAGTCTGCACAGAGTCACAGCACGGCTGGGTTGGAAGGGAGCTCCAGGATCACGGAGCTCCAACCCCCCTGTGCCGTGCAGGGCCACCAACCTCCACGTTTCACAGCAGCCCAGGCTGCCCAGGGCCCCATCCAGCCTGGCCTCCAACACCTCCACGGATGCACGGGGCATCGCAGCCTCTCTGGGCAGCTGTTCTGCCCCTCACCGCTCTCACAGCACACAACTTCCCTGACATCCAACCTCCATCTGCCCT